ATGCGAAAGACATTGTGCTCGAACACGTGCAAAAAGTTATGGAAAGATATTTTAACGTGAAAGTGAATACTGTGTTCAACGGTGAATTCGTGTCGGGTGATAAGAGCGCCAATAAGAGATATATCAATATCAGAAACTATGAACTCTTTCGCATGTCCGATCTACACGAGTGGTACGAGCGACGCGTCGTCGAGCCCACGCTTGCCTCGTTAGAAGAATTTCAAGAACGCGACAGCGGGTGGGCTTTGTCGCGAATCCTCGATTTAACTGTAAATATAAATAAATATAATCCAATGCGCGCGGGGTGCCATATTAAATTACCGCGAGAAATAATAATGAAGAGAGCGGTGATAAACGTGCAATCCAAAGACAATGCGTGTTTCGCGTGGGCGGTGGTCGCTGCTTTGTATCCAGCTGAAGATCATGTTTATCGGGAATCTTCGTACCCGCATTACATAACAGTGCTGAATCTCCAGGACATTGAGTTTCCAGTGACTGTTAATCAAATTAAAAAGTTTGAACTTCATAACGACATTTCGATAAATGTATACTGCATCGAGAAAGAGAATAACGTTGTCCCGATACGCCTTTCGGTGCAAAAGAAGGACAGACACGTCAACTTGCTGTACATGCAAGATTTGCAAGACGTCGGACATTTTGCGTGGATCAAGAATTTATCCCGACTCGTGAGCTCACAATTGAGTTGTGGCAAACGAAGACAATATATCTGCGATCGGTACGTATATTTAATAAAAATGCAATATATAAAATATACGAAAGAAAAATTAATTATTTCTTTTTTTTTACAGATGTTTACACTATTTTGGATCAGACGACAAATTGCAGTCGCACACTGTAGACTGTCGAGAAATGAACGAGTGCGCCATCCGATTACCGGGCGATAAGGACAAGTGGCTCGCGTTCAACAACTACAACAGAAAGGAGTGGCTTCCATTTGTCGTATACGCCGACTTGGAGTGCGTGCTGAGAAAGACCGACGGTGATCCGATGACGTCTACGTATACGTTTCAACATCATCAAGTATTTAGCGTAGCTTATTATGTACATTGTTCGTACGACGAATCGTTATCCGCGTATCATTCTAGCCGCAGTACGGACTGCGTTTCGTGGTTTGCGGAAAAATTAAAAAATTTAGCGCAACGCATAAAGACTATTTTAACCACGAATATCCCCATATTAAATTTAACGCGAGATGAGCGGGAAAAGTTTCACAGCGCGACACACTGTCACATTTGCGAAAAACCGTTTGCGCATTCAGTACTAGTCTCGAAAAATTTATTGACGCGAAAAGGTGTCTTTTCATACGAATATGTGGATTGCGCGGACAAGCTGCAGGACACGCGTTTACCATCGCGCGAATCATTTTACAGTTCCTTGACCGGTGACACTATATCCGAGAGCGATTACGCGCACGCCGAGAATGTCTGGAAGCGGTTCTCCGTTCGAACGCTGGGCGAATACAGAGACTTGTATTTAAAAACGGATGTCTTGTTATTAGCCGACGTTTTTGAAAATTTCCGCGACAAATGTATCGAGAGTTATGGGCTCGACCCCGCGTATTACTATACTCTTCCCGGATACATGTGGGACGCATGCTAAAACATACGAATATTACGTTCGAATTACTTACTGATATCGATATGGTTATGTTTATCGAACGTGGTATTCGCGGTGGCCTGAGCCAATGTTCCGGCAGATACGCGCGAGCCAATAACAAGTACACGCCGTCTTACGATCCATCGAAACCATCGTCGTACATGATGTATTTCGATGTAAACAACTTGTACGGTTGGGCGATGTGTCTTATGCCGTTACCTTATGCCGAATTTCAATGGGTCGACGACATCTCTGACTTTGACGTTAGCGCGATCGCTTCGGATTCGCCCACAGGTTATATTCTCGAGGTCGATCTGGAGTATCCGCAACATCTTCACGACGCGCACGCCGATCTACCGTTCTGTCCGACGCGCGATAAGCCGCCAGGCAAGCGGCAGGACAAGCTTCTCGCAAATTTATACGATAAGAAGCGTTACGTCATACACTATCGCAACCTACAGCAGTGCACGCGTCACGGCCTTCGCGTCGCAAAGATACATCGCGTATTGCAATTCGTTCAATCCGCATGGCTCCGCTATTACATCAAACTCAACACCCGGTTTAGAACGCGCGCGACAAACAATTTTAAGAAAAATTTGTACAAGTTAATGAACAACGCGGTATTCGGTAAAACTATGGAAAACGTGCGCAATCACGTCGATGTAAAATTATTAACAAAGTGGGACGGACGATACGGCGCGGAGGCGATGATCGCGAAACCAAATTTTCACAGCAGGAGCGTCTTTTCGGAAAATTTGGTCGCTGTCGAATTGTGCAAACTCGAGGTGAAATTTAATAAACCGATCTACGTCGGTATGTGCATCCTAGACATTTCTAAAACGTGTTTGTACGAATTTCATCACGAATACATGGTACCGTTATATCGAGAGAAATGTAAAATAATGTACACCGATACAGACAGCTTGATTTATCACACCGAGTGCGAGGATGTGTACGAGAATATGAAACGCGATATCGCTAGATTCGACACGAGCGATTATCCGGCTAACAACGCGTACGGTATACCGCTCGAGAACAAGAAAGTGCCGGGCTTGATGAAGGACGAGAATAACGGTGCGATCATGACTGAATTTGTCGGGCTTAGAGCAAAAATGAACGCGTTGCGAGTAGATAGTAAAAAGGATACAAAAAAGGTTAAAGGCGTCAAGAGTAACGTCGTAGCGAGAACGATAACGTTCGACGATTACACGCGGTGCCTGCGCAATGAAATTGAAATGACTCGACAGCAGTCCTGCATAAGGTCAAAATTGCACGAAGTGTACACAATCAGCAAGACAAAAATCGCCCTGAGTCCGTACGACGACAAGCGATATATCGTACCTGATTCGACCGACACGCTACCGTGGGGACATTACCGGATACCCTTATAATGTAATGTAATGTAATGTAATGTAATGTAATGTAATGTAATGTAATGTAATGTAATGTAATGTAATGTAATGTAATGTAATGTAATGTAATGTAATGTAATGTAATGTAATGTAATGTAATGTAATGTAATGTAATGTAATGTAATGTAATGTAATGTAATGTAATGTAATGTAATGTAATGTAATGTAATGTAATGTAATGTAATGTAATGTAATGTAATGTAATGTAATGTAATGTAATGTAATGTAATGTAATGTAATGTAATGTAATGTAATGTAATGTAATGTAATGTAATGTAATGTAATGTAATGTAATGTAATGTAATGTAATGTAATGTAATGTAATGTAATGTAATGTAATGTAATGTAATGTAATGTAATGTAATGTAATGTAATGTAATGTAATGTAATGTAATGTAATGTAATGTAATGTAATGTAATGTAATGTAATGTAATGTAATGTAATGTAATGTAATGTAATGTAATGTAATGTAATGTAATGTAATGTAATGTAATGTAATGTAATGTAATGTAATGTAATGTAATGTAATGTAATGTAATGTAATGTAATGTAATGTAATGTAATGTAATGTAATGTAATGTAATGTAATGTAATGTAATGTAATGTAATGTAATGTAATGTAATGTAATGTAATGTAATGTAATGTAATGTAATGTAATGTAATGTAATGTAATGTAATGTAATGTAATGTAATGTAATGTAATGTAATGTAATGTAATGTAATGTAATGTAATGTAATGTAATGTAATGTAATGTAATGTAATGTAATGTAATGTAATGTAATGTAATGTAATGTAATGTAATGTAATGTAATGTAATGTAATGTAATGTAATGTAATGTAATGTAATGTAATGTAATGTAATGTAATGTAATGTAATGTAATGTAATGTAATGTAATGTAATGTAATGTAATGTAATGTAATGTAATGTAATGTAATGTAATGTAATGTAATGTAATGTAATGTAATGTAATGTAATGTAATGTAATGTAATGTAATGTAATGTAATGTAATGTAATGTAATGTAATGTAATGTAATGTAATGTAATGTAATGTAATGTAATGTAATGTAATGTAATGTAATGTAATGTAATGTAATGTAATGTAATGTAATGTAATGTAATGTAATGTAATGTAATGTAATGTAATGTAATGTAATGTAATGTAATGTAATGTAATGTAATGTAATGTAATGTAATGTAATGTAATGTAATGTAATGTAATGTAATGTAATGTAATGTAATGTAATGTAATGTAATGTAATGTAATGTAATGTAATGTAATGTAATGTAATGTAATGTAATGTAATGTAATGTAATGTAATGTAATGTAATGTAATGTAATGTAATGTAATGTAATGTAATGTAATGTAATGTAATGTAATGTAATGTAATGTAATGTAATGTAATGTAATGTAATGTAATGTAATGTAATGTAATGTAATGTAATGTAATGTAATGTAATGTAATGTAATGTAATGTAATGTAATGTAATGTAATGTAATGTAATGTAATGTAATGTAATGTAATGTAATGTAATGTAATGTAATGTAATGTAATGTAATGTAATGTAATGTAATGTAATGTAATGTAATGTAATGTAATGTAATGTAATGTAATGTAATGTAATGTAATGTAATGTAATGTAATGTAATGTAATGTAATGTAATGTAATGTAATGTAATGTAATGTAATGTAATGTAATGTAATGTAATGTAATGTAATGTAATGTAATGTAATGTAATGTAATGTAATGTAATGTAATGTAATGTAATGTAATGTAATGTAATGTAATGTAATGTAATGTAATGTAATGTAATGTAATGTAATGTAATGTAATGTAATGTAATGTAATGTAATGTAATGTAATGTAATGTAATGTAATGTAATGTAATGTAATGTAATGTAATGTAATGTAATGTAATGTAATGTAATGTAATGTAATGTAATGTAATGTAATGTAATGTAATGTAATGTAATGTAATGTAATGTAATGTAATGTAATGTAATGTAATGTAATGTAATGTAATGTAATGTAATGTAATGTAATGTAATGTAATGTAATGTAATGTAATGTAATGTAATGTAATGTAATGTAATGTAATGTAATGTAATGTAATGTAATGTAATGTAATGTAATGTAATGTAATGTAATGTAATGTAATGTAATGTAATGTAATGTAATGTAATGTAATGTAATGTAATGTAATGTAATGTAATGTAATGTAATGTAATGTAATGTAATGTAATGTAATGTAATGTAATGTAATGTAATGTAATGTAATGTAATGTAATGTAATGTAATGTAATGTAATGTAATGTAATGTAATGTAATGTAATGTAATGTAATGTAATGTAATGTAATGTAATGTAATGTAATGTAATGTAATGTAATGTAATGTAATGTAATGTAATGTAATGTAATGTAATGTAATGTAATGTAATGTAATGTAATGTAATGTAATGTAATGTAATGTAATGTAATGTAATGTAATGTAATGTAATGTAATGTAATGTAATGTAATGTAATGTAATGTAATGTAATGTAATGTAATGTAATGTAATGTAATGTAATGTAATGTAATGTAATGTAATGTAATGTAATGTAATGTAATGTAATGTAATGTAATGTAATGTAATGTAATGTAATGTAATGTAATGTAATGTAATGTAATGTAATGTAATGTAATGTAATGTAATGTAATGTAATGTAATGTAATGTAATGTAATGTAATGTAATGTAATGTAATGTAATGTAATGTAATGTAATGTAATGTAATGTAATGTAATGTAATGTAATGTAATGTAATGCGGAGGCGATGATCGCGAAACCAAATTTTCACAGCAGGAGCGTCTTTTCGGAAAATTTGGTCGCCGTTGAAGTGCGCAAACTCGAGGTAAAATTCAATAAACCGATCTACGTCGGTATGTGTATACTCGATATATCGAAAGTGTTTATACGAATTTCACCACGAATACATGGTACCGTTATATCGAGAGAAATGTAAAATAATGTACACCGATACAGACAGTTTGTTTTATCACATCGAGTGCGAGGATGTGTATGAGAATATGAAACGCGATATCGCTAGATTCGACACGAGCGATTATCCGGCTAACAACGCGTACGGTATACCGCTCGAGAACAAGAAAGTGCCGGGCTTGATGAAGGACGAGAATAACGGTGCGATCATAATTGAATTTGTCGGGACAAAAAAGGGTCAAGCGTAACGTCGTAGCGCGTACCATAACGTTCGACGATTACACGCGGTGTCTGCGCGATGAAATTGAAATGACTCGATGACTCGA